GGAAACTTTCACCCCCTTCCAGTCCGGACACTTTCCCCCCCCCTTCTGTCCGGACACTTTCCCCCTCTTCCAGTCCTGACACTTTCCCCCCGTCCACTTTCACCCCCTTCCAGTCCGGACACTTTCACCCCCCTTCCAGTCCGGACACTTTCAACCCCCATTCCAGTCCGGACACTTTCCTCCCCTTCCAGTCCGGACACTTTCCCCCCCCCCTTCCAGTTTCACTCCCTGCCAGTGTGGACACTTCCCCCCCTTCCAGTCCGGACACTTTCCCACCTTCCAGTCCGGAACACTTTCACCCCCTTCCAGTCCAGACACTTTCACCCCCCCCTTCCAGTCCAGAACACTTTCACCTTCCAGTCCGGACACTTTCACCCCCTTCCAGTCCGGACACTTTCAACCCCTTCCAGTCCGGACACTTTCCCCCCCTTACTCCTGCCCCCAGTCCAGACCAATTTTCAGCTTTCAGCACTATCACACTTTGAATGACAATTACGCGGTCATGCAACACTGTACCATTATGAATTTTTTAGCATTTTTTGTGACAGATAAAACTTTATTTTGGTGGTATTTATTCATCGCTGGGGATTTTTATTTTTTTTGTGCTATATAAATGAAAAAGTCCAAACATTTTGAAAAAAGTGTTTTTCTTATAACATTTTGCAAATAAATAATATTTTATCATAAATCTCAGCCAACATGTATTCCGTTATATTTTAGTAAAACAAATAAACCACATTAGCTTATAACCAAAAATTATAATTTTTTACATTTTTTTTTACATTTTTATTTTTTTGTTTTTATTATTATTATTTATTTATTTTTTACATATTGTCACCCTAGCAGTGTGGGGTCACCATGGTGACACTGTACTACTTGTGGGGGTGGTGAAGATTTTTTTTTTTTTTACACTGATTGCTTTCACACCCATAAAGGCTGTAAGATGAATCATTTCTCCTTCTCTCTGTCTGCATTGCTGCAGCCATTGAGAAATACTGTGTGAGCTGTGATTGGTCACAGCTTGTCACATGGTACAAGGCTGTTGTGAATGGCCCTGTACCATGTGATCTCTGTGATCATTCACAGATTTCACACGTAGTAAGCAATGATGTCAGAAGTGACTTGCTTACTACTCTGCATGTGATCACTGATTGGCCAATAAGTGATCACATGATCGGGACTTCACACAGAGGTCCCGTACAGTGATCGGTGTACCAGTGTGTCCGGAGGACACAGCGGGCACCTGATCGTGGTGGGGCGGAGAGGCTGTTTAATAATGGCCACCCGCCCCTGCACTGCCACTGTTCGGCCGTTTATATACAACGGCCAGACGGGAATTGTTAAGGGATCTGTTTGTTCATACTACACCATTGGAGCGTTTTTTGTTTTTTTACATGGTCAATCTGGATGCAGTGGAATCTTTATCTTCAGTGATCTATATTCATCTTTAAATGGGAAATATGTCCCAAGAAGCTTTTTGGCCAATGAGAGTGGAAGGCAAATATTTTTGGTGCGTTTACATCCATGTGGGACATCCTATGGAGCACTTTGTTGTCACTTTGCTGCACATGGTGAAATAGAAGATTTACTTTCATGGACTTTGGATTACTTTACTACACTTTTTTCATGGACTTTCCATCACTTTTTAGTTTGTCATTGTTTTTTTTTACAGCAATCACGGACTATTCATATATTTATGTTATCACTATTGAGTTTTATGGGCATTCACAAGATTTATTATTATATGGTTTTGTACTTATTATCGATTAATTCACTTAGCGCCACTTTAAACACTTTATTTATTTGGTGCTTTTTATTTAAGAAAAAAAAAAAAAATTCTACTTCGTGAACAAACAATTTATTTAAACCAGCCTTTCTCAACCAGCGTGCCTTCAGGCTTCTTCAGGGGTGCCTTCAGGCTTCTTCAGGGGTGCCTTGACAAAATGCCCAAAAATTGTATACAAGCCCAGCAGGTGGATTAATCCTGCCTGTGATGGAGCGTAGGCAGGACAGAACACTCAGAGTAGATGGCAAACACACAAAGCTTTACTGAGGCAAACAGATGACAGTCACCGAATAGGGAAGTTCACAGGGAGGGTGAATACAACAGTGCAGGGCGACACGGAAGGACCAACACCGAGAGCCAAGGGAGAGTCTCTGTACCAATTGTAATCCAACAGGGGGGGTTGGTGTGAGGTCAGCACAAGAACAGTTCAAGTGAAGCAGGGAGAGAGCATGTACTCACGGATCACCGGTGTCTACACAGCGGTGAATACCCTGTGAGCTCTGGCATCAGCTTCTTAAAAGTGATATCGGACCCCCTAGTCACCTAGGCAATCGGGGGGGGGGGGGCAGAGCTGGCTTGGCTCCAGCTCTGGACAGAATGCCTTTCATCTTTGCAGGAGGGGAGAGCATTTTTACAGGACGACCACACCTAGGGAGAGTAGCAACAGTGCTAAACTTTCTCCATTTGTAGACAGTCTGTCTTACCGTGGACACAGGAACATCAAGGCTCAAGGAGATACTTTTGTAACCCTTTCCAGCTTCATGCAAGTCAACAATTCTTGATGGTAGGTCTTCTGAGAGCTCTTTTCTGCGAGGTTTGGTTCACATCAGACAGTGCTTCTTGAAACCAGTAAACCCAAAACAGGTGTGTGTTTTTTAAGGGCAGGACAGCTGTCAGCAACACATCCAATATCATCACACTGATTGGAGTCAAGGTTGGCTCACTCCTGGCTCCAATTAGCTCTGGGAGAAGTCATTAATCTAGGGCCTCACATACTTTTTCCTCCCTGCGCTGTGAATGTTTACATGTTATGTGCAATTAAACCATGGCAACATCTAATGTTTGTGTAGTATTATGTTCAGCAGACTGTGTTCTTCTATTGTTGTGATTTAGATGACGCTCAGAGCACATTTTATGCCCGATTCATGCAAAACTCCACGTAATCCCAAGGGGTTCACATACTTTTTCTTGCAACTGTACATTTCCCTTCAAGGCAGACAATGTAACTTTATACTGCACAGGACTACAGGACCAGGATGCTTTGCAAGGAGGAAGGGGGTGGAGGAGCCACGTGTGTCTTTGCAGAGGACGTGTGAGGGCTACCCTGCAGCCCCTACTGTTGAATTACACTGTTATCTACAGCAGCTGCAACTGTGATCATTGGTACCAGTCACCCACAATGGCAGTTACCGACAGCAACGACATCTCCCACCGCAGAGAGAGGTCAGAGTGTTGGAAATCACAGAGGAGGTGTGTGACCATCCCAGGTGAGGCACCTCAGAGATTGTGCAGCACCGACAATTGACAACAGAAAAAAACTCTCTCTTGATAGACATAAGCAAGTCAACATTTTCTGTGCTAAGGTTGGAATTGTACTGGTTGGTCTGGTCCTCCACCCTAAGCTGGAGGGACTGCACAGTGGAGGCTTGATTGCCTTTGACTGCAGTGATAGAAGAAATACACTGTCAAGGATCCGTCAAGGATTCACCCCGTCACGTGTCCCCCACACGCCACGCCCACAGAGACTAGCTAACCGAGACGCACACGTGTGCGGCCACGACAGGGTGGTAAAGAGGGGGAATAAAGGGGATTTACACTTGAATATCTCAAACCGTATATAAGATCAGCTGTGATACCTTTTCACAGCCCGCACTACCTCTGGCCACCACCAGATGGAGACTTTACTCCAATCCAGCTGGTCGACCACACACTGGCAGATACGATCTTACATACAACCTGGTGCCCTGATTAGAGTTGAGGACCAGCTTAGTAATCACACACCCTTCTAAGGTCCCTTCAGCTATCCTAGCTTGAACCCCAGTGTTGATAACCCTTCCACTGTCCACACCCCCCCACACCAGACGCACCACAAAAGGTAGCCTGCCACCACCCAACAGTTTATCCGCAGAACGGTCTGTTGAGACACCCCACACACACAGATCTCCGTCTGGCCGATCTGTTACCTTTTACAATCTGCACGCAATCTGCCCACACACAGAGCAATTGCATACAGATTGGCAATGAGCTTAACCGAGCGTTTTAAAGGCACTAAAATACAATACAATATAACCCAATCTATCTCTCCAATCTAGTCTCTCCGGAGATATGACCCCGAGCTTAAATACACAGAAGTTCACTAATTAATTTTAAGATTTAATTTCCCAAAGTGGGCGGGGCATAGAATATGTACAAAATATAAAAAGTTACAGAAAATACAAAAGATATAAGAAGACACACAAATGACTAATTACTATAAAATAAAAGGGAATAAAAAGACAGAATAACACTTTACCCTGCGGCTGGAGCAAGCCAGAAAATCAGCAATTCATTGGTCAATCGAACCAGCTCCGTACGGATCACAACTGTCCAAATGTCCGTGCGTTCAATTCATTGGGATTAGGACATGGGCGGGACATTAGTCTTCGGCCAATTGACTCTGGGGGAGGTGGTCCTGACCTGCCCACAAGAGGTACCATGCGTGGACCTGCCCAAGTTCAATTGGGCCGAGACTGGCCTGAACACCAAGTCGGGGATTGGATTTCTGACACCAGCGCGTCAGCCCGATCGCAACAGTACCAAACACCATCCGACTGTCGCACCCCCGCGTCATCTAATCATTCCATGAATTTTCCTGGCTTCCTCCCCAAGCCACAAATATGATTCTTATATGTAAATGTAGCGTACAGAGTGGCCTACAAGAAGGAAGCTTGTTCATCTCTCCAACTAATATTTCATCTTTTATAAGAGATTAAACATCCCCCTTTGATGAATACATAAACCTAGCCGTCCTGTCTGCTGTAAAGAGTTCCTAAACAGGTTTTCCCAGCAGGTGATAATCTCATTAACACAAAGGTGTCACCTCCAGGAGGCGGGGTTTTAGACTAATTAACGCTAATTGATGCTAAATGATGATTGGGTCTGTAAGGCCTATGGAGTAATTGTGTATACATACACATCTGTATCCCAGACCATTTGTTTGTACCTTCTATTCATTCCCTCCATATACATCCTTAATGGCATGAGTGTCTGTTCCTGAACACACATCTGCAATGAAAGGACCTGACCTAATCTAATCTACTCAACCTGTTATGGCTGATTCCATATTTCCACTCAAATCTTACATGTCCATTACGTTACATACACTATATTGCCAAAAGTATTGCCCTCCAAATCATGTGATTTGGGTGTTCCAATCCCCTCCAAATCATGTGATTCGGGTGTTCCAATCCCCTCCAAATCATGTGATTCAGGTGTTCCAATCTCCTCCAAATCATGTGATTCAGGTGTTCCAATCCCCTCCCAATCATGTGATTCAGGTGTTCCAATCCCCTCCATATCATGTGATTCAGGTGTTCCAATCCCCTCCCAATCATGTGATTCAGGTGTTCCAATCCCCTCCGTATCATGTGATTCAGGTGTTCCAATCCCCTCCATGGCCACAGGTGTATACAATCAAGCCCCTAGGCATGCAGACGGCTTCTACAAACATTGGTGAAAGAATGGGTCGCTCTCAGGAGCTCAGTGGACTCCAAGCGTGGTCCCGTGATAGGTGGCCACCTGGGCAATAAGTCCATCCGTGACATTTCCTGGCTACTAAATATTCCACGCTCAACTGTTAGTGGGATTATAACAAAGTGGAAGCAACTGGGAACAACAGCCACTCAGCCACCAAGTGGTAGGCCACGTCACATGACAGAGCGGGGTCAGCGCATGCTGAAGCGCACAGTGCGCAGAAGTCACCAACTGTCTGCAGAGTCATTACCTGGTGGGGTGAGGGGGGTTATCTGTCATTACCTGGTGGGGAGAGGGGGGTTATCTGTCATTACCTGGTGGGGGGATGGGGGTTATCTGTCATTACCTAGTGTGGGGAGAGGGGGGTTATCTGTCATTGCCTGGTGGGGAGAGGGGGGTTATCTGTCATTGCCTGGTGGGGGGAGGGGGGTTATCTGTCATTACCTAGTGGGGAGGGGGGTTATCTGTCATTGCCTGGTGGGGGGATGGGGGGTTATCTGTCATTACCTAGTGGGGAGAGGGGGGTTATCTGTCATTTGCCTGGTGGGGAGAGGGGGGTTATCTGTCATTGCCTGGTGGGGGAGAGAGGGGGTTTATCTGTCATTGCCTGGTGGGGAGAGGGGGGTTATCTATCATTGCCTGGTGGGGGAGGGGGGTTATCTGTCATTGCCTGGTGGGGTGGGGGTTCATCTATCATTGCCTGGTGGGAGGTCATCTGTCATTACCTGGGGGGAGGGGGGACATCTGTCATTACCTGGTGGGGGAAGGGGGGGGGACATCTGTCATTACCTGGTGAGGGGAGGGGGGGGGTCATCTGTCATTACCTGGTGGGGGTCATCAGTCATTACCTGGTGAGGGAGGGGGAGACATCAGTCATTACCTGGTGGGGGAAGGGGGGAGGGGTCATCTGTCATTATCTGGTGGGGGGAGGGTGGCATCTGTCATTACCTGGTGGGGGGCATCTGTCTTTGCAGGAAGAGGAGGTGATCAGTAATTATCTGAAGTGGGGGTCTCCTGAAGGAGGGAATCACCTGTCATTACCAGAAGAAGTTGGAAAGGCATGTGTCATTACCAGGAAGGGGGGTGTCACATTTCCCGAATATCCTGCCCCTGGCCATGAGAGAGGTAACTGGATGCTGTTTAATAATGTATAAAAGAAAGGTGTGATTTTCCCAGGGGCACACTCTCTGATCAGCTCCCCACCCAGCCCAGTACAGTACCCCCCTCCCGCCCCTGCTCGTGCATACAAGGTGGGGGCAGGCTGGCCACACTCTGAGCTGTCGGGTGAAAGTGGTGGGGTTTGTATGTGAATCTGGAAGTCAGAAGCCCGCTGAGTTTCCTCTTTTACATACAAGCGCATCACTTTCACACCCGACAGCTGAGTATGGCCAGTCTGCCCCCACCTTGTATGCACATGTAGCCGGCAGCAGGAGAGAGAATAGAAAGAAACAGCCGCCATATCTTGGTGTACATTGGGAGAATCTAAGCTTCAGCCTACGCCTCTGACTGCCGACACCTTTACCAATGTGTGCACTCCCATGTCAAAGGCCGACATTGCCTTTCTTGTCCAAAAGGTAGTACTTTTGGTGCTTTCAGGCCCCACCACCATTACCTGTCTGGCTATCCTGTCTAATTAGAAAGCCCAAATCTATAGAAGCCTATGGTGTACATGTGATGGACTGGCATGACCTAGCTGGCTGTATGTAAGTTGTATCTGGTCTATGCAAACCAGAGGCTCTGGTGTACAGTTGGATAAATGGCTCTGTATATTAGGATGTATCCGGTCTATAAACCAGAGGTTCTGGGTGTACAGTTGGATAAATGGTTCTATATTTAGGATGTATCCGGTCTATAAACCAGAGGCTCTGGGTGTACAGTTGGATAAATGGTTCTATATTTAGGATGTATCCGGTCTATAAACCAGAGGCTCTGGATTGACAGTTGGACAGTTGGATAAAAATGGCTCTATATTTAGGATGTATCCGTATCCGGTCTATAAACCAGAGGCTCTGGGTGTACAGTTGGATAAATGGCTCTATATTTAGGGTGTATCCGGTCTATAAACCAGAGGCTCTGGATGTGACGGTTGGATAAATGGCTCTATATTTAGGACGTATCCGGTCTATAAACCAGAGGCTCTGGATGTACAGTTGGATAAATGGTTCTATATTTAGGATGTATCCGGTCTATAAACCAGAGGCTCTGATGGACAGATGACCGGTGAAGCATTGCAGTGATCGCTGACTTGTAGTCGAATATATCATTAAAGACTCACTGGATTCCGCAGTTGGCAGCAGTGACAACCCAGAGACTGTTGATGACGGAGCCGCCACAGAAGAGGTAACCATAGCTCGGTCCTGTGGAAGAAGAGTCATCAGATTATGGCTTTATCTACTGATAGTTGTACCTTCTGCAGGAAGTAAGGCCTCGCTCAGACCATATTGCAGTTTCTGTTTTTATCGCACAGCACGGTGCCTATCAGGTTATTTTTGGCTGTCTGTATTCTGGAGACACAACAGAAAAATTCAAGGAAATCTCTTCAAAGTGAGCAGAAATTCCCATCCTATAGAGTTGTCATGGGAATAGTTGTCTCCATCAGAGGATTTTCCTTCCTTATGGTGACATAATCCATAAATTTTTGGATTTAGGATCTCATTTCTCAATCAGTGACTCAATGATTCAAAAGGTTTCCATAATGCAGTAAAAAAACGAAAATTGACAAAGGTCCCATCCCAACCCTACTCCATTTCAATTTAAAAAAATAGCCTAAACTTTTTTAAGTTTAGCCTAAAATGGGAGGCCAAAGCTTTGTTCAGATGAGCCCTGGGGGCAAACAGAAAACGTTTGAGAATTTGAAGGTCACATCAAACGTGCTTGTCAGATACTTGCTGTAGTAATGACTTAATGTCACGCTCTCTTATTTCTGTAACATGTCCTACTGGTGATGAGGAACAAGGAAGAAGACGTTTTGGTGGTACCTGCAGAGACACCTGCCATGGCCAAGATCCAGATACGGCGTCCTCACCATTCAGAAATCCTTGCATAGCCGGACATAATGGGCTTCGGGAACGCCTCAGCCTGAAGAAAACACATATATATTATATCCTTGATCTCGTCTTCTCCAACCGCTGCCTCTCCCCCACACAAACCTCACTAACACCCCCTTCCCTCTCTCTGACCACAACCTGATCACCTTCTCTATCTCCTCGTCCTCCAACACCTACCCCTCCAAATGTCACCACTATAAACCAGCCGATAAATGGCTATATACATAGGTAACTTCCGCATCCTTAACCCTGTCCCCCTCCACTCTGCAGCTGATCAACTCCATGACAGCATCCTCTCCCTGTCCTGCCCCGACTTGGCTATGACCGCCTACAACAATGCGCTGTCAGCAGCCCTTGACTCACTAGCGCCTTTAACCACACAACAACATCAGACCGACCGACCGCTCCAGCCCTGGCAGACTGATCACACCCAAAACCCTCAAACGACACAGTCGTGCCCTGGAGCAACTATGGTGCAAAACCAAATCCCCAACAAGCCTTCACACCCGCTACAAATCTGCCTTCCGCACCTACAGGATCCTCCTCCTCCCTCCATGCAGCCAAACAAGCCTACTTCCTGACCCTCATCAAGGCCCTCTCCTCCAATCCCTCGCCGACCCTTCTCCACCTTCAACTCTCTACTCTCACACCCCCACCCCCCCCACCTCCACCCAGCACCTCACGTCTACACCGCCCTTGAGATTGCCAATCACTTCAAAAACAAGATTGACACAATTCACAAGGACATCGCCGCAACTCACAAGACGCCTGGGGTGTCAAACCCGTTCCCCTCTCACACAGCTACCCCCTTCATCCCCCCCGGTCCCCCTCGACATAACCCAGCAGGGACTTCGTCACTGCTCAACGGGACAGTTCCAACCCCGTTCCCCCTCACACAGTACCGGTACCCCTCATCTCCCCTCCCCCTCGACATAACCCGCAGGGACTTTGTCGCTGCTCAAACTTCCTCTATAAAACCCCCTATCACCCTCACTCAGACTACCCCCTCATCACCCCTCTCTAACGCCCCCACGTCTGCTATAAACCTCCACTTCCACTGGTACAGTTGGATAAATTCCTCATATTTGAAGCCCCCTCAACACTCCGCACTTTGACCTTACCACCATCGAGGAAGTTCTCCAAGCTTATATCCTCTCTGATGCCCCGCCTCGCCACCTAAACCCCCCTCGACCCTGGGACACCCTGGATACAACTCTATACGACCTCCCTCCCCCCTATAAAACCATCCTAACGCTTGGACAGTTGGATAAACATCTTCAATCTCTCAACCTCTCCTCCGGCATTTTCCCCTCCCCTCTAAAAAACATGCACACATCACCCCCATACTATAAAAAAAGGTCCCTGACCCTGGACCCCCAATGACCCGAACAACCTCAGACCCATCTCCCTGCTCCCATTTACATCTAAACTCCTCGAGCGCCTCGTCTACACCCGCCTATGCTCTCAGGACCTCAACGACAACAACCTCCTTGATCCCCACAGGCCTGGGCTTCCGTCCCCTACACTCCACCGAAACCCGCTCTACACTCCACCGAAACTGGTCTTACTCAAACTCTCCAACGACCTGCTAACCGCCAAAGCTAATGGCCACCATTCAGTGCTATCCCTACTCCTTGACTACTGAGGCTCTGGCGGCCTTCGACACAATTGACCACCCCCTCCTCCTCAAAAAATACACTATCACACCCTCGGGCCTCAGAGATTCTGCTCTCTCCTGGCTCTCATCCTACCTGTATTTCACAACGCTCTTTCAGCGTTACCTATATAGGATGCTACCACCTCCCCTCACTCCCCTCTCTGTCCTGTTGGGTGGTATCAAGGCTCTGTCCTTGGGCCCCTTCTCTTTCCATCTCACCTCCTCTTGGCCAAACTCAAACACTCTATATTTAGGCTTCAACTAAAACCTCTATGCTGACGACACGCAAATCTATCCACTCAACCCTCCCCCCACCTCACCCCCTCGGTCTCCACCCCCCCACCTCACCCCATCCGGTTGTCCACCCCCCACCTCACCCCTTCACTCTCCATCCCCACCTCACCCCCTCGGATCTGAGCAGTTGCCCGAATCACACACCTACTGTATCAGAG